AAAACCCGGGTAAAGAGTGGACGGAAAGCGAACTGAACACTGAATGGAGGAAACAAAATGCAGAACCAAAAAGAAAACCCAACGGACACGCACAGTGAAAGTGAGGCAAAACACCCCTGCACAAAGGGCCACTGTGTCCAAAAATAGGGCTCAAACCTGCTTTCTTAGTACCCTTGACTCAGGCCCAGAAGAGGAACCAAAGTGCTCCACAGATGATGACACATAAGGAAGCATTTTCAAGGAACACCAAACAAGGAACAAAAAAAAGCAGCAGTTGCCCTTTAAGGACAAACAACATTCTTTCCAGCCTCAGCTTCTCTGAGTCACCCTTTTAGGCTGATGCTTTGCTGTTCACGACAGAAAGACAGGCGGGTGGGAGGGAAATGTCCCAAAGAAAGGTAAAGGTAAAGGTTCCCTTGCTCGAAACCCAGTCGAATCCGAATCTAGGGTTGCGGTGCTCATCTCCGTTTCAAAGCCGAAGAGCCAGCGCTGTCCGAAGACGTTTCCGTGGTCATGTGGCCGGCATGACTAAACACCAAGGTGCATGGAACGCTGTTACCTTCCCACCAAACTGGTCCCTATTTATCTACTTGCAATTTCTTGCTTTCAAACTGCTAGGTTGGCAGGAACTGGAACTAGAGACGGGAGCTCACTCCGTTATGCGGCACACTCGGGTCTCGAACGGCTGAACTACCGACCTTCCACAGCCTGCAGTTCAGCGTCTTAACCACTCGCTTCTGCACAGAGCTCCTGCTCCACCTTCTCTCCCTAACCGCAGCGGTTTGTCTGGGGGACTTCTGCACAACATCGCCATCCAGTCATGTCCCTCCTGGGTTTTCCCCAGTTCCAGTGCAACTTTCCCCAGAAATGTTGCCGTACCCTCTTCCACAAAGAACTCACTGAAAGGGCGTTTGGAGAAAGTGTGGAAGAGGAAATGCACATTTCCACATCTCCCTACCAACATCTGGTGGCATCTCCTCGCCTACATGCATTTCTAGTGCCCCCCCCTCCCCGGAAGCCAGCATGGTGCACTGCTTAAAAGCTATGGATTCTAATCTGGAGCCCTGGGTTCATTCCGTCCTCCTCCGCTTGAAGCCAAGTTGGGTGGCCTTGGGTCAGTCACAGCTCTCCCAGTAGGGCTGCCAGGTCTCCCCTGGTCACCGCCGGGGGATGGGTGGGATAGGATTGCCAGATCCAGGTTGGGAAACTTCTGGAGATTTGGGGGTGGAGCCTGGGGAGGAGAAGAACATCAGTGGGGTACAATGGCATACAGTCCATCCTCCAAAGCATCCGTTTTCTCTAGAAAAGCTGATCTCTGTAGTCTGGAGATGAGCTGGAATTCCGGGGGATCCCCAGGTCCCACCTGGAGGCTGGCATCCTTATCTCCCAGTCCCTCCAAATAAGCCTAGCTCACTGCATAATGCACAAAAGAAGAGCTAGAGCTTCAGTCTGCCAGACAATCCTAGGATCTCTTGACTATACCACACACAATGCCATATGATAATTTTTAAACTTGTTGTTAGCCACCCTGAGCCATTGGGTAGGGCGGCATAGAAATCTCAAAAATAAATAAAATAAATAAATATAGAGCCCACCGTCCAAAGCAGCCATTTTCTCCAAGTGAACTGATCTCTGTCAAAAAATGAGAAAAATGGGGGAGGGGGACTCAACCCAAGATATGGCTATGATACATGAGGGTCAAGCTATCAAAATAAGTTAATATGAAAATATATTTATTATGGTGTACCCATTAGTAAAAGATAAAATAGGTTAAAAGAAGTGATCCAAATATCAGGCTCTTAAAACTTTTTACATACAGAGCTGTTCCACATATACAATTGATGGGTATATCACATGACCAGTAGACCATACATGTTTCAGCCCCTTAGGGCCTTCCTCAGTGGTCAATATTACTATTGTAAAACAACACACACCCAGAAATAAATATATGAAAAAAGCTTTTCTTTAGAGCTAGGTGTTGCTTTCCCATGTGATGTGCAATTGCTAAAAGTTTACACAGTAGGCCATGGATAATCTATCATGGTAACTGCACACACTCTCCAAATTGTTTTGATACCAGATATCCAATGTGCCTGGATATGTGTCTTTTCCATCAAAGGTAGTAATCAAGTTCCTAGAGCTATTGGGAAAGACAAGTATTTATTATGGTTCATTCTGCCGCCAAGAGTAATCTACATAATCATAAACTGTCCCACTATATTTATATGGCTGTTTTTCAGTGGAACAGTACATATTACGAGAAGGCCCTCAGTTCAGCACTCCATACAGACATGAACTATCTTAGCAGTATTAGGTGAGGCACCGTTCTTTCATCTTTAGCTCCATCCATAATAATGGGGAAACGATACTGTTGTACTTCGCAAAGTTGCTATTGTGACAGCTGAGATAATAAAGGAGGGTGGCTGTAAGCAGTACAGGGGTTTGGGGGCTGCCTTGTAAACATTTTTGGTTGACACTGGTACATACAATTGCTTAGTCTCCCCCCTCCCCGGCCGCCACTGCAATGAATTTCAGTGGTTACTGGGCAGGCCATTGTTAGACGATGTCAGGATATTTCCTAAAGACCATTCTGTAAGCCAGAGGTCCCCAATCTTGTTGAGCCTGTGGACATTTGCAATTCTGAGAATAGTTTAGTGGACCCCATCACAAAATGGCCGCTGTGGGGAGGAGGCATGCTGCTGCTCACAAAATATAATGTAACACTTCCGTGAAAATATTAAAACCACATTTATTTCTGCGCTGTTTAAAAATTACCTCTCAAAGTACGTACAATATCAAAACACCTTATTGTTTCAGTATCAGTGTAATGCATTCAGCTTGTAGCATAAACCATCAATTTCAACTTGTTGCTTGAAAGCTTATCAGGCGGTGATAGGGTTACATTTCATTCTCACCATAATGCTGAATATATGTTGTAACTTCAGTTCCCAAGGTCTCTGCTTGACTCAGTTTCAGCTAGTTGCTTGAAAACATATCAGACGGCAGTAAAGTTGCATCTCATTCTCTCCAAAATGTTGAATATCTGTATACAGAGTTTCTGTATACAAGCTTTCCAAATGAGATGGTCCAGCAATTAGGCTCCGTATATTTATGGATACTAATTAGATTAGATTAGTTCACCGGGAAGGTCACTTGTTGGTTTGTAGACATTTAATTTTTGCGTGTGTGTCATTGTTTAGTTGTCCTGGCCCCACTGCTGGACCTCCTGATGGCACCTGGTATTTTTGGCCACTGTGTGACAGAGGGTTGGACTGGATGGGCCATTGGCCTGATCCAACACTGGCTTCTCTTATGTTCTTACATTTTTTTTAGATGGTTCCATCCAGCTTTGGACTGAAACCAAAATGAGGGGAAGAAAACTCAACCCCAAAGATTAAATAATGAAAAGTTTGAGACAAAGAATTTTTAAAAATGCTTAGTGAACATACGATTTTAATAAAATTGCAACAAAAAGCCTGAAAGCTATGTGGTAGAGTCCACCAAGCCTGCCAACTAAGAGCTAGGCCCTTAGTGAGATGGTGCAAATTAAACCACAGCTCCCCATTACAAGAATTTCCTAACAACAAATATTTTTTAACATGGGCACAGATTATTCAGATGACAAAGGTTCCTGTCAGACCAGCTCAGTTCCTATGCATGTTGCCTCACTGACAAGGCAGAATTTTCACCTTCAGGGCAGGCCCAAGCTTGACAAGACTAGTGAGCCAGGGCAGGGAAAGCTGTCAAAAACCTACTTTGAGGGAGGCAGTGCTGTGAGAGGGATGGGAAAAGCACTTCTGCGACAGTAGTGCTGTAGTATTTCACATACTACCATGAGGCAATACCTACTGAGAGAAATCTCTCTGTTTTGGACTTTTCTTGATGGTCTGAAAGATGGCACAGCATTCAGGCACAATTTTTGGGGAAATGACCGGGGCCACTTACAGGTTTTCATGACTCCCTTTGATAGTGAGTGATCATACACCCCTCCAACACAGCTACATTCTCCCCCAATAAAATATTACCTTCCCTACTGCAGGGAAGGGAGCATAACTCTCATACTCTTTTTAGCCCCAGTTGTGTCTGCTGGTCTAAAAAGAACGGGAAAGAGGGAGGGGTCCACTCTTTTCACCACTTCTGCCATCCAGAAAAAGGAAATTGCCCCAGAAGCCTCCTGTTGCGGCCAATAGGGTTGGCAAGCCTAGCAACAAGCAGGAGACGGGGAGGGTGGAGACATGGGGGGGGGCATGATGTCATAGTGTCAGACTTCTCTAGGAACCTCCAGAAACTATGGTAAAACTATAGAGCTTCTAGTAATCCCTAGAGAGGTGTGATGTCAGTTCTTGGTTTTCCCCAGAAGTGACACTACACTATTCTCACTGGCTGCTGGAATACCGGTGGACAAGGCTCTTTGGGCAGATTTCCCATGTGTCCCAGAGATCAGAGTGTTAGACTTAACATCTGGGAGACCCAAGCTTGATCCCCACTCTGGGTCTAACTAGATTGATGGCATCTGTGGGCTTGATCCATGGATGCCACCACCATTTTAAAGATGGACCTGGGCCATTTAAAAATATTGCGGGGTGGAAGCAGGTGACCTCATCCCCACCGCAGCTGTTTCAGCACTTGAAAAGGCCTGGGGGCTGGAGGATCATCTGGTCCTGCTGCGGATTGCAGAAAATAGCCCCAGTGTGGAACAGTCCTCGCAGTGCAGCCCTTAATTTGTTGTTTTAGGATTCCGCTGTTATCCTCGCTCTAATTTGTTTTTAAAACGCTTCCCTTCATCCCCGACATGACCTATTTCCGGTACGCGCTAACGGCAATCCAGGGCTTGAATGTCTGGCGTTGAAGACAGATGCCGGCGTAGACCCCAGTCACCACACCCCTATATGGGGGTGGTGCCCCAGTCCAGTTTAAAGCCAAGGTTGACGTTTGCGTGGCCGCGAAAAGGCAAAGGAGCCTGAATTTAACCAATAACTCATACCGAGGCCTATTGTGAAGCACGGAGAGGATGCGGCGTGCCTGGCGCACGCGCACTAGGCTCCGTTTTGAACGGAACAGAAACAAAACCAAGTGAAGCGGCCCTTCAGGAAACGTATTAGGGCTCACGCGAACGGAGAGACGGCGCATGCGCCAGTTTCCGTACAGGCAAGCGGTCAATCAAGGGTGGTCGAGACCCCTCCCTTTCCCCTCCTTTAATCCCGAGCAGCTCCGCTTCTATTGCGGTTGGATTTGTAATCCCTTATCTCTGGGTGTGGCAGCGGACTCGATTCGTCAAACTTCGGTTCCCGCGAGTGCTTTTCTTGGGCGGTCGGGGGACGTGGAAGAGTCCACGACGGTGTGAAGGTAGCCGATGTACCGCCAGAGGAGTTCTTCCGCGGGCGCCCAACCCTCCGCTGGAGAAAATGACCAAGAGATGTATGAATGTCCAATGTGTCACCTTGTTTGTACTGACTATCCCGTTCTACAAGAACATGTTGAATTACACTTGGAGGAATCCAGTTTTCTAGAAGGAAGAGACTTGCATGATCTAGAATTGGCTCAGCATATCCAGAATGAGGAAGTGAGGCAGCGAAGAGAAGCTTCAAGACGAGAGAGAGAAGATTTTCAGAAGCTGCAAAGGCAATATGGCCTGGATGGTTCTGGTGGGTACAAGCAGCAGTCATTGAAGAACATGGAAAAGGAAGTAGCTCGGGGAAGAATGCAGCCTTCCGAGTATCATAAGAGAAAAGCTGACATGATGGAATCTTTGGCTTTTGGCATTGATGATGGAAAGACACGGACTTCAGGCATTACTGAAGTGCTCAGCCATTACTATCGAAGTGAATCTAAAGACATAAAGCGAGTCTGGCTTTCTATGGGAGTGGATCACTACTATTGTTCTTTTGGAGACAAAGGCTGGGGTTGTGGTTATAGGAATTTTCAGATGCTGCTTTCTTCTCTCCTGAGAAACAGCACCTACCAAGACTGCTTGAAAGATCTTCGATCAGTTCCTTGTATTCCAAAAATTCAGTCGCTGATTGAAAATTCCTGGAAAGAAGGTTTTGATCCCCAAGGAGCTTCTCACTTCAACAGCAGATTACAGGGCACGAAGGCATGGATAGGAGCGTGTGAAATTTATTCACTTTTAACTTCTCTCAGGCTAAAGTGTCAAATCATTGATTTTCACCAGCCAACTGGCCCATCAGAAACACATCCTCGTTTGTTTGAGTGGGTGCTGAATTACTACAATTCAGACAAGGGAAACAGTGCAAAAGTGGTTTGTACCTCCAAGCCTCCGATCTATCTTCAACACCAAGGCCATAGTCGCACTGTTCTTGGAATAGAAGAAAGGAAGAACAAAACCTTTGCTCTGCTAATATTTGATCCAGGCTGCCCCTCACAAGAAATGCAAAAACTCTCAAAAGATGTTGATGGTAACACTTTGAGGCTGGTTCGGAGATTTGCGGGTGGCTTAAGACATAAACAGTACCAAGTGGTGGCCATAGATGGTGTGCTGTCAGCAGAGGAAAAACTCGCCCGTCTTCAGGCTTCTCAGCTCTTTGTAGCTCAGAGGATTCCTTGAAGGATGGATTACTGCAACTTTTTTTAAAAGGAAAGATTTCTGGTGCATTCACACCAGAAATAGGTGGCATATACTTAGTATCTATCTTAAATGCTGTAAAATAAATTCTGAAAAAATCAAAAAAAAAATCTGGTCCTGCTGTGTTGATTGAGTCCTAGTAGCATTTTTAAATGAACTTGCCTCTAAATTCACTAAGGTCCCCCTTGGCTACCGGTGGGGGGTTGGGGTCCATAGGGTTGCCAGATCCAGGTTGGGGAGCTTCTGGAGATTTGGGGATGGAGCTTGAGGAAGACAGGGACCTCAGTGGAGTTAGAGATGTAAAATTTCCGGAAATTTTGAAGCTCGGGAAAAAAACCGTTTTTTTCCCGGAAAAAACGGAAATTTTCGGGAAAATTGAAAAAATGCTACATTAGCATTTCTTTTGTCTTTTCTAGATTGAAAGTCATTCTGTTACTTTAGGAACATAAAATATGACTATGGACATTTTTACTTGGCATGAAATGAGCACAACTAGCATATTAAAAATATAGTGTATCCAAACAATTATTACAAACAGAATACCCACCCACATGCAAAAACAAAACTGAAACCTTTTTATTTTCTTCTGACAATAGCACCTCCTAAAGGAAGAAATGCATCTTGTTCTTGCATTGGAGAGTTCAGTTTGTAACCTAGGACTGGCTTGTCCTCAGTGCACAGAAATTAGATCAATCTGATACCATATATATATATATATTAGAAATGATTTGGAAAATATTTGAACACCTTGTCTTAAAATATTTTATTCATCATGTTAAAATAAAACGTTCCATAGTCAATTTATTTTATTTTATTTTTCAAATTTTTCGGAAAATAAAAAAGGCTTCAGGAAAAAAATGGAAAAAATGGTTTTTTCCCTAATTTTTCCGGTTTTTTTCCGGGCCTTCACATCTCTAAGTGGAGTACAGTGCCATAGAGCCCACCCTCCAAAGCCATTTTCTCCAGGGGAACTGGTCTCTGTAGTCTGGAGAGGAGCTGTTATTCTAGGGAATCCTCAGGTCCCATCTGGAGGCTGGCATCCCTAACAGTTCACAGGTCAGACCCGTGGGCACTGTAATGTCTGGTTTGGCCCTCTGCCATGAAAGCTCACTGGGCGACTTCGGGACTCTCTCAGCCCAACCTACCTGTTGTGAAGATAAAATAGAGGTGGGTAGTACCGGGTGGAAAGCCATTTTGGGTCCCCATTGGGGAGAAAAGCAGGGTTTAGATATCAAAATAAACAAACTCTGAACTTCCTGTGGAAGCATTCTTGAAGGGAATCTCCATACGCACTGCTTTCTAGAAGCAAGGGTGATGTCTCCCTGAATTATCCATACATACAGCAATGTTGACAAATGTAGTTCTCTTACCATTCCACATGGTCATAATTTTACAGGAAATATGGGGAAGGAGATATCTCTTGGGGAAAAAGGTAAAGGTTTCCCTTGCTCGAAAGCTAGTCAAATTCGACTCTAGGGGGCAGTGCTCGTCCCCATTTCCAAGCCAAAGAGCCAGCGCTGTCTGAAGACATTTCTGCTGTCATGTGGCCAGCATGACTATATGCCGAGGCGCACGGAACGCTGCTACCTACCCACGGAAGCGTTACCTATATATCTACTTGCAGTTTCTTGCTTTTGAACTGCTAGGTTGGCAGGAGCTGGGGCCAGAGGCAGAAGCTCACTCCGTCACGGGGCACGAGGGTCTCGAACTGCCGAACTACAGATCTTCTGGTCTGCAGCTCACTGTCTTAACCTCTGAGCCACCGCAGCACCCATCTCTTGGGAAGGGTAAGTTAAATCGATCAGCCTCGTCCCCCTTTCTTGCACCTTTTCAAGAGGTCACCGGCGACCAGAACATACGCATTAAAGTTATACAGGAAAAACAGCTGCTCCAATGCCTCTGCTTTAAAATGGCCGCCAGGAGCGGCTGGGAACAGCAATAGTTGCTTTCATAAAGATTAATTAGCCTATATATTTCACCGAGGTTTCCAATTAGTAGGCTTGGACCTGCCTGCCAGGTTTTTCCAACACCTAGCCTTGGTGCCAGCCAGGTAATATAAAAACCAAACAGGATCTCTTCCTGGCCAGGTAACCTCTCCCACCCACCTAAGAGAGCACCACTGTCCAGGCGCTCTGCCTCCCAACACCTCAGAGCCAAAAACTAGCCATGACGATGTCCTCATATCTGCCACGGGAATGCCGCCACCATTTTGAAGTGATTCGAAAATGCCGTGATTCCGGTTGGGGCTGCAGAATGAGGCACCCTTGTCCTCCCCCACCCCCATGCCTTTTCAAGCGCCGAAAAGGGAGCAGCCCCCACGGCCTAGGGTTAGCAGCCCTCCGGTGGAGCCTGGAAGACTCCTGGGACTACAAATGATCTCTCTAGACGACAGAGATCTCTTCCCCCAGGAAAAAAATTGGAGGGTGGACTCTGCTGAGGCCTCTCTCCTCCCCAAACCCCACCCTCCCTAGGATCCACCCCCAAATCTCCAGGAATTTCTCAACCTGGAGTTGACAACCCCTGCCCAACCCTGGATTTTGTGACTTGAGAAGGTGCAGGGAACAAGAGTGCCTCAGCCTGACCTGGCTAGTCCAGGCAAGCCCAATCTCATCAGGTCTCAGAAGCTAAGCAGGGCCGACCCTGGCAAGTATTTGGAAGGGCGACCTCCAAGGAATACCAGGGCTGGGACGCAGAGGCAGGTAATATAAACCACCTCTCTCCTAGCCCCACTAGGGGTCACCGGAAGTCACCATGGCTTCCAGGCTCACAAGCGCATGCTCTTACACACACACACACACACAAAATTCTCTCTCACACACAAATAGAGTGCCTCAGCCCACCACACAGCAGGCCCGATGAGGGTAAGGCCCTCACACCGTTTTTAAATCACTTTAAAATGGCGGCAGCATCCCCATGGCAAACATGAGGATACCTTCACATCTAGTTTGACCGTTACACTTGCTACTCTCAGTGAGAAAGGTGGACTATAAACGACGCAGATAAATAATAAAGATGAAACGGCCAGGCCCTGCAGTTTTTATTTGAAAAATAATTAACACTGAGCACCTCAGGCCAATCCATTGTGGTCAGTTCAGGTGCACAGAGTCAATAATTTCATCACTCTCCTGTCATTTCTTGTAGGACGCCAGATGTACTATAGATATATTCCTCAAAAGCGCCTGATGACCTTTCAGACAAAATTAGTCACGCGCAGTGCCTTTAATTAGTTATTATCCATTAATAATGGTACAGAGGAATTATAAGGTGACTGAGCAACATTGTATTGGCTTCTAAAAACCAGAAAGGCGATGTAATAACAATAGAAAGGCAAGGCTTTATGAGGGGAAATGGTTAGTCAACCTGGCTGCATGACAGTACTGTGAGAGAAACGCAGGCAACCAATTTGTTTTAGGGTATTCCTCTTATACAGCCGGTGTGTTGTAATGGGGGAATTTCACATTCCCCGTCTTCTCCCGGTTTCAAGCCGGGAGACTTCCGTTTCCAGATGAACCGGTACAGGGCTGCCGTTTCACACACGGCTTGCCCCTACCGGAAAGGAGCCGATTCACAAGCGGTTCGGCGTTTCACACACGCACCGCTTTGTTTCCCCACGGTTTTTTTTTTTTAAGTCCGTCTTATAGCGATATATCGATATACCAGTATTCCAATGTATTCCAATGGGATCGGTATAGCGTTATATCGATATATCGATATAAGCCGAACGTTCAAAAAAAAAAAAAAAGCCCGCGCGGCCGAAAAAAGGCGGGAAAGAACCGTATTGGAACCGGGAGGGGGAAGGGGGGACTCCTCGGAAGCGGTTGACAGGTAAATCGCTTCCCTCCCCGTTCCTATACGGAACAGAGACTTTTGAGTGTGAAATGGCAGTCAGATCCCGGTAGGGAACCGATTCTCAACCGGGTTCTGTCTGAAATGACAGACCAGCACCCGGTTGAGAATCGGTTCCCTACCGGGAGAAAGCGCCTGTCTGAAATTCCCCCTTGTTACAGTGTTGAACTACTAGGACAGTGACGGCGAACCTTTTAGAGACCGAGTGCCCAAACTGCGACCCAGAACCCACTTATTTATCGCAAAGTGCCAACACGGCAATTTAACCTGAATTCCACTGCAGACTGTGGAAGGTCAGTAGTTCAGCAGTTCAAGACCCGGGTGCCGCAAGATGGGGTGAGCTCCTGTCTCTAGTTCCAGCTCCTGCCAACCTAGCAGTTGCAAGTAGATAAATAGGTACCACTTCGGTGGGAAGGTAACAGCGTTCCGTGCGCCTTGGTGTTTAGTCATGCCGGCCACATAACCACGGAAACGTCTTCGGACAGCGCTGGCTCTTCGGCTTTGAAACGGAGATGAGCACCGCAACCCTAGAGTCGGATTCGACTGGCTTTCGAGCACGGGAACCTTTACCTTACTTTAGAAAAAACAACTCATACATTAACTTAAGATGATCCAAACAAAGTAAGGAAAGCGATCCCAAATGCTTTCATTTACTTAAAATTATTTGGCAGAGAATTCGACACTTTAATGATGGTCTGGGCCTGGCTGGGGCGATGGCACGCGTGCCCACAGAGAGGACTCTGAGTGCCGCCTCTGGCACCCGTGCCATAGGTTCGCCACCACTGTACTAGGACATAAGAGGCCTGAGTTCAGATCTCCTCTCAGGTATGAAGCGCACTGTCACCCAGAACGAGCTTTCTTCTTTCAGCATAGCCTATCTCACTAGGTAAAGCACAGACCAGGAGAAGCGCGTAGTCCATGCGGAACATCTGAAGCTGCCTCATATCAGGTTAGGCCAATGATGTATTTTGCTTACCAGTTTTGAGTTCTGGATGTTCTCCAATAACATCAGTTTTTAGAATAACGAACCTCAGTGTGGAAGAAATATGAGCTAGGTAGATGTCTTTCAGACGGGTTATCTGCACCGAGTTCAATGTTTTTGGAAAGCACCCCCCCCCCAATCCCCTTGTTTTCCAACAGTATCGTGGTGCATTCTTTTCTCTTTTTTAAATTAAAATTAGTTTTCACAGTAACATTTACA